TGATTATTCTAGGAGGAATGACAAAAGTCATAATGAGTGGTGTAATAGTCCTATGACCCTCACACAAAATAAGTAAATTATTAGATTACTATTAAAAGCCTTAATTGTTGCCTTGCAAACTATTTTTGCTTTGGTTTTCATTTCAGTTTATGTTGACTTCACTGTAGGCTTCTCTCATCTTTTTTTTTAAATACAAAGGAAATTGTTTTAACAACTGTGTGAGTTCTTTCAAGAATCTATGAAGAGAGTTTATTGAACTTTAAAATGATCTATTATGATGTCTTGGATAAGATGATGTTTAAATTTTTTTCTTCTTCTACATAAGGGTCAAGTTGTTTCATATTTTCACCAAATATATCACTGACAAACCCTTGTTTTGGTTTCCGTAGACAGTCTTTTAGAATAATTGTGATCCCATCTTTATGGTCTCTTTTCAGGAAAGCCTTGAAAAAGAAGCATTCTTCTATTGTATGTGTTACCATCCTATCATATGAAAAATAATTATGACAAATAATTCTTCCCACTGCTTTAGGCTTGGAGGGTTAGGGAACTTGAAATTTGAATTCCTTAACAAATTCATGAACATCTTCTTAATGGTTTCTCCTTAAAAAGAATTGACCCAAATCCTTATTTCTCTAATATATACTTTTACTCCCTTCTTCCTTTAGTCATATAAGGTTATTGTTTTCATTCATGTTACTATGAATACTATAATTGAGATCATTGTTCTGGTTATTTCCACTGCTATCTTTATGGATATTATTGTGAGGTTGTGGATTTTGTTGTTATGGTGGTTGTCATTATTATTACCGAGTATTTCTAAGTTGAATTTTCATGGTTTGCTTCCCTTTATCATTAGCAGAAATTCCTAGATCCCTTTTGGTAAGATTTTTTAGTTTTTTTTTTAGTTTCTTGACATATGAACGATAACTATTTAGCATTCTTTTGTATGTTAGTTGTCTAAATAAATAAATTTTTAAAAGTCTTATTGGTGAATACTTTCAACAGGCAAATGGTACATGAATATTCTAGAGTGGAATCTCAATAGAATATTGCTCTTATAATTATGGTTCACACTCTAAACTTAGGATCCTCCATCTTAAGTTGTAGTCTAATAAAGTCATTAGGTTTCTATTTCTTAATAATCAAGTCTCTAAAATTGATGTTGTGTAAATTTCTGGTAAAACTCTTTATGAACAACCTTTAATTTAGAAAATATCTTAACTGAGCTGTTGGAAAATTCAACATACTAGTCAAATGATATCCCTAATATATTTCTAACAAACTGATTAAAAAGTAGGGCCTTCCTTTCTCCAACATTACAACAACAAACCTAAAAATATGCCAAGTGTTATCTCAGGTCCTTAAGTTCATCAAATAGTTTAAATATCAATAGTATAAATCCGTTATTATAAAATCTTTCTTAGGTACAAATGAATAACCTTAGCCTTGGGCTAAACATCTTTTACTTATTACTTGATAAGAGTCTTCTAGTTTTTCTCAAGAATAGTTGGCTTCTAGAATTTTTTTGAAGGCTTTCTCTTCAGATACTACTGTCTTTGGGTTATCAACTATATGAATAGCCACAGGTTTCACCACTTCCATTTATTTTGGCGTTAGTGTTGAAGTTCTTTTTTGGATCAGAGGTGTTGAAGCAAATAATTCATATATTATATTTTTCTTATCTTTCTATCAGCTCATCTCTTTAACTTAATTCATTACACAGAAGTATAGCTATGTTAGATGGGTGACCATCCTAAACTACAACATCTTGATGTTGTGCATGTACTAGAAATTGTGTTGAGACTAGGTTTTGAATTACAGAAATAAAATTTAATATTTCTTCCATACTTTTCTCTAATCTATCTATATGTTCTTCCATCTATCCTAACTAATTTAAAAGATGTCAGATTATGTATGGTGAAACATGTTGGTAGAGTGGTAGAAAATTTTAGAAAAGTTCATAGTGGTTATGATTTAGAAGTAACTAATGAATAAAGTAGGGTCCTATTGGATTTTATTTTAGCTTTTGATTTTAGTATTGCCAATATATTATTTCAAAAAATAGATGAGCATATTATCACTTATAAGAATTGATCTAATCATTTTTTTATAAGAAAAAAAGATCGTCAAGATTGCAATGTCATTCCGAGTGAAAATTTAAGTACCAACATCGATTATTAATTTTGGATTTTAAAATGAAGGGTTGGGAGATGAAAAATACATAAAATATTATTATAAAATTAGATATGAGCACTTAAATGACACAAATAAAATTATTTTTATAAGTAAACTTTATGGTTTTAAGATTTGAGATGTTCATAAAGAAACTAATATTACGTGGGATAAAATATTAGGAACTATTAAGCAAGTTACAAAAGATATGCGTGGGGAATCAAAAGGAAAAACTCCTATAATAAAAATATTCGATGGTGGAGTAATAATTTACAAGAAAAAGATAAAAATAGAAAATTTTGGCATAAAATTTGTTTTAGATGTAAAACTTGGAGAATTTGGAAAAATATAAGATGAGTTATAGGGAGTCCAAGAGAATAATTTGTGATGCTAGAAATTTTACTTTTAATGATCTTTATAATATATTAAATACTAAATATGGTAAGAAATATATGTATAAACTAGCAAAGAGATATAAGAAGTAAAAAATTAATTCAAAAAAAATATATTAAGGATGAAAATCAAATAGTAATTTTCTTAAATAAGGATATTCAACATAAGTGGGTTAGATATTTTAATAAACTTTTTAACGAAGATTATTAAAATACAATCCAATTTAATTTTCTTAATATGGTAATAATAAGAAATATTTTCTTATTTTCACTGTCTGAATAGTAAAATAGGAGTTTAGGAGGCTTGAAAAATAGTGTTGAAATGCAATAGGACTTGATTGTATTTCAATAGAAGTGTGAAATATTTAGAACATCTCGGAATTCTTGACTTACTAAACTTTTTAATATTATTTTAAAAATTAAAGGATGGGCGATGAATGGAAAAAGAATCTATTAGTTCATATGTTAAAGAGTAAAGGGATGGGTGATGAATGGAAAAAAAATCTATTAGTTCATATGTTAAAGAGTAAAGAGTGTGCACAAGAGTGTGTAATCTATAGAGGAATTAAGTTGATGGGTTATGCATTACAGTTATGGGAGAATAATTGAATGTAGATTGCGACGTGATACAAAAAATTCTCTAAATCAGTTTGAATTCATGTCTGCAAGTTTACTATGGAACATATATATTTCTTAAGAGTTTTGATGAAGAAGTACAAAGCGAGTAACGAAGAGCTACATGAGATTTTTATCGATTTAGAAAAAGTTTATGATAAGGTTACAAGAGATATAGTTTGTAAAATTCTAGAAAAGAAATGTGTTGATATTACTTATATTGAAGCCATTAAAGACTTGTATAGTAGAGCCGTTACTTGTAATCGAATACAAGGAGCATTGACCTAGTATTATTCTATTTCAATTGGATTACATCAACATCAGCTTTAAGTCCATATATTTTTGCTTTAGTTATGGATATTCTTACTAGATGTTTATAGGAGGATGTAACTTGGTGTATGCTTTTCACTGATGATATCATTCTTGTGGATGAGACTTAAGAAAAATAACTTAATTTATGAAGGTTAACTTTAGAATCTCAAGGCTTCGTTTGAGTAGATCTAAAACTAATATATGAAATTTAATTTTAGTAAAGTAGGTTTAATGGTGAGCTTGTAACAATTGGTGATCAAGTCATTAAAAGGAGTGAACGTCTTGGATTTCTCGGGTCTATTTGTCAAAGTTATGGTGAAATAGATTGGAATGTTACTAATAGACGTCTTGGATTTCTCGGGTCTATTTGTCAGAGTTATGGTGAAATAGATTGGAATGTTACTAATAGAATTCAAGAGGAATGCATTGGGCCTTTTACGTGATAGAAAAGTACTACTTAAACTTATTGAATAAATTTATAAGATGGTGATGAGACCTGCTATGTTTTATGATTTAAAATTTTGGCTATAAAAGAGAAGCATAAAATTAAATTAAGTGTTACTGAGATGAGAATGCTAAGGTGGATGAGTGGCTTTACACTTAGAGATAAAATGTGTAATGAATATATGCATGAATGAGTTGAAGTAGCTCTACTGACATACAAGATTATATAGAGTCGCCTTAGAGAGTTTGGTAAAGTTAAATGCCGACTATCTGATGACCCTGATAGGAGAGTAAATTTTTCAAATTTAACTTGAGAAAGGTACCGATAGACCTAAGAAAACTTGGTCAAGTTGTTTACAAGATGATCTTAACTTATTAGAATTAAATGAAAATATGAAAAAATGATCTTAACTTGTTAGAATTAAATGAAAATATGACACTCAATAGAACACAATAGAGAAAAAAGATTCATGTAACCAACCCCGTTTATTAAGATAAAAGCTTGTTCTTATCATTGTTTTTGTTGTCATCAACTCAACTAGCATATGAATGATTATTTAATAATATCTTTAATATCAATTTTAATAGAACACAACGAATAATAATGTCCATATTGAACATTAAGCTATTTATCATTCATAAAAAATAATACAAAAACAACCCCTACAATCAGTGAAAAAATATTTACTTAAAATAATAAGTAAATTTACAAAAACTACAAAACAGTAAAACTTCTCATGAAAATAATAATTTAAGGGAGATTTACATACTAACTACCAAATTCTTATCTATTAACATAGCAATCATCTAAACTTTAATTATTTACCAACATAACACCCAACATATGCCGAAAACATAGGAAGCGGGTGTTATATATGTAATAAATGAAGTTGGGTGGTTGATATTTTAATACATAAGAATTGGGTGTTACGTATGTAAAAGTCTCTAATTTTAACAATATAAGTATATCCGCTATCACCATTCAAAACTAGGACTAGAGCAAACAAACATATATAAGCCATCACAATAACTAGTATCGCCATCAGCATGAAAATTTATGAATCAAGTAAACAATCATGTAAGAGCGCATTATTATATCAAGATCCTGGAAAACAAGTTTTACATGTACTTATTGATATATATACAACTCTAGCCTACAAAGTAGATCCAACTGGGTCTGTAAAGGTTGAACAGAGCTCAAACCATCAACATGTAAATAAAATTTCACACTCAACTCTCCACCAAAATGGCATCATAAGGAAAAACAAATAAGCTTTGTTATTTTGCTACAGACTTCCATTCAAGTATGGCAGAACGAAGAGAGTGATTGGGTATCAGATTTACACTGGACAACGGCAGATTTGTCATTGGTGACTTATCATTCATGCTCAGCCATGTCTCAATGGCTTTGCGGTCATACGTGTAGCCGTCAGATGCGACGCACGGATCATTCATCATCTCCTGTATAACAGAAATCCATGTGATGAGTTTTTTCGGTTATGGATATGAAGTTTCAGATTTAACAAACTAAACATTTGGAACAGAAGGAAGTCTATAGAACAGTGCATAGTCACTTGACAATAGAGGCAACTTAAACCTTAAATCCTGTTCAAGTCTCTTTTGGGCTAGTTTATTTATAGCTCTAATTTCTGCTACGCTATATTTTCCTTTCAATGGCATGTTAACAAACGGACACACAAAATCACAAAGCATAATAGAGCCGGAATGCAATATCATAAAAGTTACTGTGTTATTCTCTGATCGCATACTCTGAAATTTTACCATTTTAGTTTCACCGTACGCCATAAGTCAGACCCTCGTTTTTATTCTTAATAGACCAAAACTACTTGAAACTAATTGTACCTAGGTATCAATTTTAATTTTAATAATAATGGCTTATAATAAAGAATATCACATCCGTTAAAATTGGATAACATATGCTCATAATTTGTTCACTTTATTACTCTCCCTTGTAATAACTGATTTTTTTTTAAATAATAATAATAATAAATAAATAAATGATAATAATATTAATAATCGAATAGACGGATAATCATCTCTTCATTTCTGACTTAAGAGTCGTATACTCCATTTCCAATAAATGAATTGAACGAGAACAAGAACGAGAGACAGAGAACAAGGGAGGAGAGTCAGAGGGCGAGGGAGAGTGTTTTGAACCTTGGGAGAGACAAGAACGAGAGACAGAGAACAAGGGAGGAGAGGGCGAGGGAGAGTGTTTTGAACCTTGGGAGAGATCATGTCCTAACCAATCGAAAGAAGAAAGGTCGAGTGACTATTTGGCGCACGAAAGAAGAAGGGCCTCAAAGCACTGTGGTTGCCGCATGCGTTCAGAGCAAGGAAGATGACGACGACGCCGTTTGGGCAAGAGGCTTCGACATAATGTTCTGCGTGAAATAGTGGCTTCGTGTAAGAAAGGGGAGCCCTTGCCCAAGCCAAACAGTCTCAACTAAGACATAGGGAAGAGCAGAGGTGTCCTCGCCGATCGAAGGAGGAAAGTAGAGCGAAAGGAGCTCTCGTGCGTGCGGGTAGGAGCCAGATCTTGCCTGCAAAAAAAGGAAGAAAGGTCCAGAGTGCGACGCCACTGTCGAGCAGAGAAAATGAGAGGAGTCTACGTGCAGAAAGGGGAAATCAAATCGTGGAAAGGTCAGCATTTTAAAATATTAATTTATGAATTTATTTTATTATTAATTATTAAGTATTAATTATTAATTATTAATTATTAATAGTAAGATTTATTAACTTAGAATTATTCAAGCTATAGAAATTTCAGATTTGGTTAGAGAAAAGGTCAGCAACAACGAATAAAGGTTAGGGTTTTATTTCCAAAAGTATTTTGTATAAATTAATAATATTTTTGAAATGATTAAACTTAAATCTTAAGTATTGAAATCTTAATTAAAATAATCTTATAGAAAAACAATTAATAGTTGAATTAAAACATAATTAAGTAATGTGATTAAAAAATTAATAACATGAATCTTTTATATCTTATAGGTGTTAATTTGAAAAAAGTAATAAAATGTAAAAGCAAACAAATCATTTATGATCGAAGTGAGTACTTGCACTATAAATTACAGTATTTGATTTCTTCTAAATCAAATATACTTTGTTAATGATTTAGATAGATTTTATCTGCTCTTTAAGTTAATTTGATCATATTGAATTGTATGTTACTGATATTTAAATATACTTTGTTAATGATTTAGATAAATTTTATCTTCTCTTTAAGTTCATTTGATCATATTGAATTGTATGTTACTGATATTTATATATATTTATCAACTGCATAATCCAAGTTATTATATTGCGTAATGAATGTTATGAAAAGAAAATCAGAATGAGATTTATTATTTTGGTTGCTTGCATGTGCATATTTGGCTAATGATAGAGTTATCCATTTATGGTATTAGCAGAGGAACACTAAGGTATCGTGCACGTATATGAAAAAGAATAATCATATTAAAGTACATTTAGATGGTATTCATGTGAGGGATGTATACAGTTTAAAAAAATATTGATATGTAAACGATATAATAAGACATACTGAATGCTTATAACTATATTGAATGATCATATAAGATAGTACAACCCTTTAGATGCTCTTAGATTGATTTACATAAAGTTCAGTTGTCATGTATGTTTACTTTATCATTATATTACTATAGTTTAGGAGTATTAATATTCACTGACTATGGTTAACTAATTGTTATTTAAAAATAACTTTTCAAATTTAATTAATTGATTAAAAGATGAACAATAAGAGAAAAAATGTTTCTAAAATACGTGAATAACCAAAAATGAGATAAATTTAACTATACTATAATTTTTTATATATAGTGGTTCTTTCATTTATTAAAATTTTATTTATAGAAAATGAATATAGAAAAATTTAATTCTCACCGTCTGATCGGTTGTTCCCACACTGGTTAATTATAAGCCATCGTATATATGTTAAGTTACGGGTCATGACATCCCATAACTTAAGTATATATCCCGTAGGAATGATTCCCCTATAATTACTATAATCATAGATATCATTTTGATTTTTAATACTGGTACTATAATATCTTCAATGATTTTGCATATTTTGTTTGATACAACTAAATTGATATCATATTATACGACATAAAATAATCCCACTCAAATAAAAATCATAGATGAAGTTCATCTGCAAAATAATGATTTAATAAGCATATTTGTCGTACAAACCAAAACTATTTTTTTGAAAGATTAAGCAAGGGAAAGAAACAAACAAAGCCTTAGATTTTCTTCCTTTCAAGCAAAATCTTATATTGAATCAATTAAATGAATATAACATGAAATAATTCCAAAGATTTGTGTGATATAATGTAAATAAAAAAAGTAATTAAAGATAACATGATGACTGAAGAAAGTTTTCGTCTATTAGAAGATATCCTCAAAATCCCTTGTTTATGGCACCTTGCTTATATTTCGATGGAATGTTGTGAATGACAACAATTATTTCTATTCCTATCCTTAGGCATACACGATTTAAGGCCTTATACTCAAATGAAAACTTAACATATATACGATGTCTTAAGATCTAGGATTAGAATACAAAACTAGGATAAAATTCTAAAAGAAGATAATAATCAAAATTATTAGCTTAATATAATGCAAAATTAAAAAAAAATTAATAAAAAAGAACACATTTAACTAAATTCATACGATAATATAAAAGAGCATCAAATTCTAAAACTTCACAAGAAATCTAAAAATGAATATAAAATTTCCTAGTGATAAAGATTGACATCAATAAAAAAAGAGAAAAAAAATCAATGAATAACAAACTTAAACAAACTCAATCACTAAATAGTCAGATGCAAGAAAAAATGGATAAAAAAATTTAGAAATATGAAGTTACAAACCTCACGCCAATGTAAAAGGAATCCCCTAAAAGTTTTCATCAATACATGTAAAGCACACAATGAAGCCATATCTAATAACGTAAAATCGATAGAAAATTTGAACTTAATAAAAACATGGAAAAAATTTGACATACCTAGAGACCTCATAAATATAATTTAAAAAGACACTAAAGAGTAGCAATTAAAATTCAAAAAAGACTTCAATTTTGATGCTGAATACTTCAGATGCCAAAAAAGCAAGATTTTAATTCCAAAATCAGCAAGATATGTTCCCTGTTAGAGTACCAAACCGAATAAATAACTGCTATAGCAAAAAAGACAACAATCATCTTGATTCTTGCTACAAAAAATAATGTGAAGTAAATAAAGAAATCTCTCAGCAGACTAAAGCTAGAATAGAGAGTTACACAAGAGAACTAGCAAACAACTACAAATTAAAACAAGGGTATGCCTGATCAGAGGAAATAGTTGACCCAATTTAATTTAACAATTCTCATCAGCAACATATGATGTGTCATTTATGAGACTATAAGCTTGAGGGGAACGTTTGTCTAAGAAAATATGTTAAGTTAACATTAGTTAACATAAAGCTTTCTTTCCTATTAAGTGCACTCCATAGTTCACCACTAGGGAGATTTAAGCCATTAGATAACTTGTGGGCTCAGATCATGAGCATGATTTAATGGTGTCACTTTACAATGAACCTAGCCAAATAGCCCCAATCATAACTTTTTTTTTTGTTAATTGACAGCAAAACAATGGCGCCAAAAGATGTACCGCATCATTACTAGCATGAGATTTCATTCCAAATTTTATGAATGGGAATCTTTCTAGTGTTATATGATGTCAAATTTTTGTTTTTATATGAACGTATTTTACCCCGGTGGACAACATTTTCCTAGCACATGTCACAACATACATTTCAAATTCACACTAAGTTTTTGAGTCGAGGAGTTCTGAGTGTTTTAAGATTGTGATCCCATTTATTGGCGAGTTATCAACTTCATTGCAAGTATCCTTTGAGTCCATTTTCATATTCACTTCTATTCATTCAAAGGGGCAGATAATGCATTTGATGTTTTTAATTTTGATTTTTTTTTTTCAGGAGTATATTTATATTCAATCTCATTCTTTTCATGTGCTCATTTAACCAACTGTTTAATTAAAGTTAATACCTTTTGATACCGTTCAATCCACATTTAGGCAACGTATTAACAGCTCTTTGCATAGGGAGCATCTACAGGAATTTAAATCAGCCCATAATGCCTAGAAAGGCACATATGGGTCTTTATACCTGCATAAAAATTTGTAACTTAAAAATTTCCCGAGCGTCAAGACCAGATGAGAACAAGTACTTAACTTTAACATTCGGAGTCTTCCCTATCGTACCAGCAAAAACGTCTATGAGCCAAATGCATGAAATTTGTGTAACGTATAATTTTCCCACTGCACTAAGAAAGTTGAGTATAGGTAATTACATTTGAAGTTTTAATTTATTTGCATTTATACCTTGTGCAAGTTAAAGTTGTAGATGACAAGACGAGATAAGTC